ATTCCAAGAATGGTGGTGCACACCTGTACACACCCAGCTAAAGAAAGTTACATATTATGAAGATGTTAAATGAACACAAAAAGTATTTGATATCATAGCAAGTAAAAAAGTTAACTAAAAAACTATAGCATGTGATGTGTACATACTGAGACCCTGTCTCAAATAAATAAATAGGGCCACAAGCAGGATAAAATTTGCCCCTTAAAGTTACACGATGCACCAAATGAAATGAAATTATATATCTTTGTGGACAGTAATAGAATGAAAATAAATTATAGGATGAAAATAAAACCCTGATGGTTTGGACTGTGCAATCGTGTGTCTTTTCCCCCTTTCACCTACCATCACTGCTGCTCCAGTGTTATGTATAACTAAGTGGTGGCCCTGTGGGCTGCAGAAAGCCCCCACGGGCCCCTGACAGGCTGGTCCCCACAGTCTCGCAGCACCGCCGTGGTGAGCCTGGCCAACACCAAGCATGACCTGGACCTGCTGAAGGAGCAGCTGGAGGAGGAGCAGGGAGGCAAGTCGGAGCTACAGCGCCTCGTGTCCAAACTCAACACCGAGGTCACCACCTGGAGGACCAAGTATGAGACCGATGCCATCCAGAGGACAGAGGAGCTGGAGGAGACCAAGTGAGTATCGTCCTCCTGCTGGTAGAGCCAGGTGGGCTGGGCAGGTGGCGCTGGGGGCCTCACTTCCATGTCAGTCACTGCTGAGGCCAGGGACAAGCCCAGGAGAAGGATGTTCAGAGGCTCCTTTAAGAGGAAGACAATGTGTCTGGACAATGGAGCCTGCTTTGTGGGCCAACCATGGTGGCTCATGCCTGTATTCACAGCACTTTGAGAGGCCATGGTGGGAGAATTGCTTAAGCCCAGAAGTTGGAGGCCAGCCTGGGCAACATGGTGAGATCCTCATCTCAACAAAAAATTACAAAATTAGCCAGGCATGGTGGCATGTGCCTGTAGTCTCAGCTACTTGGGAGACTAAAGTGGGAGGATTGCTTGAGTCCAGGAATTGGAGGCTACAGTGAGTAATGATCAAGCCACTGCACTCCAGCCTGGATGACAGAGCAAGATCCCGTCTCTAAAAAAGAAAAATTACAGGCCAGGCATGGTGGCTCACGCCTGTAATCCCAGCACTTTGGGAGGCCAAGGTGGGTGGATCACAAGGTCAGGAGATCAAGACCATCCTGGCCAATATGGTGAAACCCTGTCTCTACTAAAAATACAAAAAAAAATAAAATAAAATAACCAGGCGTGATGGCACACACCTATAGTCCCAGCTGCTCAGGAGGCTGAGGCAGGGGAATCTCTTGAACCCGGGTGGCGGAGGATGCCATCAGCCGAGATTGTGCCACTGCGCTACAGCACGGATGACAGAGCAAGACTCCATCTCAAATGAAAAAAAGAAAAAAATTACAGAAGTGGACACCTAAGGAAATAAGGGGGGACATGAAAGTGGCTCTGAGCCTCTCTCTTGTGTAAAAGGAGGCTGGCCTGGGTGTCCCTGGGTCGATGCACCCATGGAAACCCTGTGAGTTAGGCACCCTAGGCCAGGCAGCAGAAGGAAGCCACGACAAATTAAATCAAAAAACATAGTCAACTTAACAAACTTCTCTATAAAATTCTGGGTTCTCTGAACAAATGGCCACATTTTTTCTTGTATAAAGCCAAATTAGATATAGAAAATGGCACACGTGCTCTAAGTGTTTCTGGGATCCCAGCCTGCTGACTGGTCCCATCCATTCACTGAAATTTCTGGTAATGTGATAGCAAATAAGGCATAGTGACTTCCAGCTGATGCAACACTTTTCTTTTCTTTTTTTTTTTTTTTTTGCCTTATACTGAAATACAATCCAAGCAGGTGCAATACTTTCATCTAAAGCTCTAAGCTCTTTTTCACCTTGAGCCTAAATTTGCCTTCCTGTGACTTCCACCTCTGTCCTCCAGGCCTTTGTTATGGAGGCTGCTGGGCCCTGCCTGGTCCTCCCCCAAGTCTACTCCTGCGCTAAACCTAAATCTCAACCCCTAAGCTTGTCTCTGCCCCAAACACCCTCAGGGCCCCTCCATCCCAACTTAGACCTTTGCCTGTGTCCGCTTCTCAGAGTCTCCCCCAAGTCTGCATTTGACATTGTCACCCCCTCCCACCTGGACTGCCTGTCCCCTTCTTGGCTCTATTTGTCACCACAGTACTACATTCTATAGGACATGTATTGCCTGCCTCCCCCTAGCTCCAGAACAAACATTTTGTTTGTTAGGGCAGATAGCCTAGCCTGTTTTATTCACTGCTGTATCCCTAACACCTGCAGCAATCCCTAGGGCAGAGTAGAGAAAATAAGTGTTTCTTGAATGAATAAATAAGACAGTGAACGCGGTGGCTCTCCTGTAAACACTGTATCTTTTCCAACGTTGGCACCAGAGCTTAGTACCATGCCCACCACACTGTGACCCTGGCAATGAGAAGGCAGTGCCTGTGAGTGTCTATGTTTCCTTGACAGCCCCTCTGGCCCTCATTTGCAGGAGGAAACTGGCCGCCAGACTTCAGGAGGCAGAAGAAGCAGCTGAAACTGCCCAGGCCCGGGCTGCCTCCCTCGAGAAAAATAAACAGAGACTCCAGGCAGAAGTTGAGGACCTCACCATCGACTTGGAGAAGGTCAGAGGGTCAAATGCTCAAAGCTGCCTATTTACCGTGGGCGGCAGGGCTAGGGAGAGACTGTCACACATCTGGGATCATCAGAAAGAAACACATGGCTCAAGAAGGTGCAGCACAGCGGTACCTTCAGGAGCGTGCTAGACATGGCTGCTCATGTTCATGAACTCTTCTGAGATCTAACACTCAACAAGCTACTGTTTAAACAGGGCCACAAGACCAAGCACAGTGGCTCATGCCTCTAATCCCAACATTTAGGGAGACCCTATCTCTACAAAAAACAAAAATTATTTTATTATTTTTAGTTTTTGAGACAGAATTCCGCTCTTATTGCCCAGGCTGGAGTACAGTGATGCAATCTCAGTGCACTGCAAGGTTCAAACGATTCTCCTACCTCAGCCTCCTGAGAAGCTGGGATTACAAGTGCCTGCCACCACACCTGGCTAAGTTTTTGTATTTTTAGTAGAGATGGGATTTCATCATGTTGGCCAAGCTGATCTCGAACTCCTGACCTAAGGTGATCCACCTGCCTCAGCCTCCCAAAGTGCTGGGATTACAGGTGTGAGCCACTGCGCCTGGCCCCCAAAAAATGTTTAAATTAAAAACTTAGCCAGGTGTAGTGGCACATGCCTGTGGTCCCAACTACTTGGGAGGCTGAGGCATGAGGATCATTTGAACCAGGGGTTCAAGGATACAGTGAGCTGTGATTGTACCACTGCACTCCAGCCTGGGGGACAGAGTAAAAACCTGTCTCAAATAAATAAATAGGGCCACAAGCAGGATAAAATCTGCCCCTGAAAGTTACACGATGCACCTTCCCTGTTCCCCCCTCTCTTACACAAACTATGTCCCACATACTTTGCATGGCTAACTATTCCTATTTGCATCCCTGGTTCAAACTGAGTTGCCAGTCTCTATGAGAATTATATAAGATTTGCAGTGGCATACACCTCCCTGGTCTTGGTCTAGATGGGACCATGATTTATGCTGGCTGTCAGAGGCCAAATGCAGCCCAATGAAAGAATGTGGCTGCATGAAGTGGCCACATAGGCAGGAGGTCACATCCATGTGAAAGGTTTCAGAAAAAAAGTTCTGGCTCGGTGGTTCATGCTTGTCATCTCAGGACTTTGGGAGGCTGAGGTGGGAAGATTGGACTTTGGGAGGCTGAGGTGGGAAGATTGCTTAAGCCCAAAAGGCTGAGGATACAGTTAACTATACTTAGGCCACTGCACTCCAGCCTAGGCAACAGAATGAGACCTCACCTCCTAAAATAAAAAAATAAAAATTAAAAAAAAAGCTGGGGGTAGCTCACACCTATAATCCCAGAACTTTGGGAGGCCAAGGCGGGCAGATCACCTGAAGTTAGGAGTTTGAGACCAGCCTGGACAACATGGCGAAACCCCATCTCCACTAAAAATGCAAATATTAGTCAGGCGTGGTGGCACGCACCTGTAATTCAAGCTACTCAGGAGACTGACACAGGAGAATTGCTTGAACCCGGTAGGTGGAGATTGCAGTGAGTCAAGATCACGCCACTGCACTCCAGCCTGGGCAACAGAGCCAGATTCTGTCTCAAAAANAAAACTATCAGAGCAAAATTCCCAAATACAGCAGATGCTCCCTCCAAAAGATGAAGAATCCTGCTAGAACTGCTAGGTGATGCAAGGTGGAACACCTGTCCTTTACCAAAGAAGGGAGATCCCCAGAAAGCCTCAGGCTGTTGGAGCTATTAAAACTTTTCCGATGTGGCAAAAAAAAAAAAAAAAAACTCCTGAAACTCAAAAAGGTTTTGCTACTCCGCAAAAGAAACAATGCAAAACTTTACAAAAGTTAATATAGCACAACAGCAAATAGTTGCCAGGGAGTTATGAGAAAGATGAAACCTATGGAAAAATAAAGTAAAAGAATAGTCAGATATGAATTGGAAAATGACGCGTAATGTATATTACTGCATTACAGTGAAATACATTAAGGGGAGTTAGGCTGAATGTTGTAAATCTGGAAAGGCCACTGCGACTCAAACTCCTCATTTTACATTTTACAATTGTCTCATTTGAGAGAATTCTAACCTGGGAAAATAAGGTGGAATGCCCCAGGCCACACATCTCTGGGAACTTTTAGAATCATGCAACTCTTTGCAGATTCTCTGTTCTGTGCCTCTGCCATAGGTGTTGAATTATATTCAAATTCCCAAGGGGTCTACAGCCTCAAGAGTTACTGGGGAAAGGGAAGGAAGAGTGGTTGGTGGGGGATGGGAGGAGGGGACAGAGGCAGGGAGGTTGGACCCCTAGAGACCATTTCCACCTTACTCTAGGCCAATGCTGCAGCCGCTGCCCTGGACAAGAAGCAGAGGCTCTTTGACAAGATGCTGGCCGAGTGGCAGCAGAAGTGTGAGGAGTTGCAGGTGGAAGTGGACAGCTCGCAGAAGGAGTGCCGCATGTACATGACAGAGAGCTTCAAGATCAAGACAGCCTACGAGGAGTCTCTGGAGCATCTAGAGTCAGTGAAGAAGGAGAATAAGACCCTGCAGGGTGAGTCTGAGGGCAGGTGGATGAGATGGGCCTGTAGGGATGGGGACATAGCCAGACCCCCCTTCATCCTGAGCACATCATCAGTTGAGCACCTGGCACACAGTAGGTGCTCAATAAGTGTTTGTTGACTGACTAGCAAGTGCTTTGTAGAAGCACTTCAGCATTCAGCAGTGTAACTTTAGGTGAGTTGCTTAATCTTTCTATGCTTCACTTTCCTCACTTATAAAATGAGGAAATAATCAGCATGGTGGCTCATGCCTGTAATCCCAGCACTTTGGGAGGCTGAGATGGACGGAACACTTGAGATCAGAAGTTGGAGACCGGCCTGACCGACATGCTGAAACCCCATCTCTACTAAAAATACAAAAAATTACCAGGCATGGGAGCGGCCGCCTGTATTTTTTTTTTTTTTTCCTTTCTGTTGTATGTAGCCTGTAGACCCAGCTACTTGGGAGGCTGAGGCAGGAGAATTGCTTGAACTGGGGTGGGAGGAGGAGATGGGGGCTAGAGGTTGCAGTGAACCGAGTTAATGCCACTGTACTCCAGCCTAGGCAACAGAGAAACACTATGTCTCAAAAAATAAAAATAAAATAAAATAATTCTACCTTACTTAAAAGGTGGTCATGACATGAAATAAGATTATGGGCTGGGCACAGTGGTTCATGCCTGTAACCCAACACTTTGGGAGGCCAAGGGGGGCAGATCACCTGAGGTCAGGAGTTTGAGACCAGCCTGACCAACATGGAGAAATCCCATCTCTACTAAAAATACAAAATTAGCCGGACATGGTGGCACATGCCTGCAATCGCAGCTACTCTGGAGGCTGAGGCAGGAGAATCACTTGAACACAGGAGGCAGAGGTTACAGTGGGCCAAGATTGTGCCATTGCACTCCAGCCTGGACAATGAGTGAAACTCCGCCTCAAGAAAAAAATAAAATAAAAAAGATTATGGCCAGATGTGGTAGCTCGTATCTACAATACCAGCACTTTGGGAGACCTGCTTCTTACCCCAATGGAGGAATGACTGTGCCACCTGCCATGACCCTGGAATGCTGAGTCTTACTAACATGAATATTTTTATCTCAGAGGAGATAAAGGATCTCATTGATCAGCTGGGTGAGGGAGGAAGGAGTGTGCATGAGCTGCAGAAGTTGAAGAAAAAATTGGAGATGGAAAAGGAAGAACTCCAGGTGGCGCTGGAAGAAGCTGAGTCTTCCCTGGAGGTACCATGGGGCCATCACCTTGGGGACTGTGGATGCTTGGCCAGGCACTGCACACCTTCTTGGCCAGAAAGACTAATGTTTTTATTCCTGGTAGGTTGAAGAGAGCAAGGTGATTCGAATTCAGTTGGAACTGGCTCAAGTTAAAGCTGACATTGACCGGAGAATCCATGAGAAAGAAGAAGAATTTGAGGCTACCAGGTACGGCGCTGGTGGGATGGGAGGCTGACTCTTAAGCAGTGTGATGGCGCAGAGTCCAGAAACCCAGGTCTCTCCCACCTACTAGTCATGTGACCTTGGGCAATTCAGGTGAACCGCTCTGAACCTTAGTTTCCTCATCTGTGAATTGGAAATAAAGACTGGCTTCATACTGTTGTTTCACTCTCTGGTTTACGAACACTTTGGGTTTTTTTTTTTTTTTTTTTTTAGACAGAGTGTTGCTCTGTTGCTCAGGCTGGAGTGTAGTGGTGCAATCATGGCTCACTGCAACCTCTGCCTCCTGGGTTCAAGCAAGTCTCCTGCCTCAGCCTCCCGAGTAGCTTGGATTACAGATGCATGCTACTGTGCCCAGCTAATTTTTGTATTTTTAGTAGAGACAGGCTTTCACTGCCAGGATGGTCTTGAACTCCTAACCTCAAGTGATCTACCCATCTCAGCCTCCCAAAGTGCTGGAATTACAGGCATGAGCCACTACACCCGGCCCATGAACACTTTAGCATGTAGTATTTTAGCCATGATCACTAATGAAGCAGAGCATCTGTTATGTGCTCACTGGCTTTTTGTATAACGTCTTTGGAGAAAAGTCTGTTGTTTGCCCCTTTCAAAAACTGGATTGCTTCTTTTTATTGTTGAGTTGTAAGAGTTCTTTACATATTCTGGACACTAGACTCCTATCAGATTTGATTCACAGATATTTTTTCCCATTCTGTGGGTTGTCTTGTTACTTTCTTAAAGGTATCTGTTGAAGCACAAAAGTTATTTAATTTTGGCTGGGTGCAGTGGCTGACACCTGTAATCCTAGCACTCTGGGAGGCTGAGATGGAAGGATTGTTGGAGGCCAGGAGTTCACGACCAGCCTATGAGACCCCATTTCTAATAAAAAGAAAAGAAAAAAAAATTTTAATCTTGAAAAAGTCCAGTATTTTTCATTTGGTCACTTGTGCTTTAGAGGTCATATCTAAAGACCCATTGCCTAATCCAGTCACAAAAATTGATGCATGTATTTCATTTGAAGAGTTGTATAGTTTAAGCTCTCCTATTTAGGGCTTTGGTACATCTTGGGTTAATTTTTGTATATGGTGTGAGGTAGGGGTTCAACTTTATTCTTTTGCATGTGGATATCTAGTTCTCCCAGCACTGTTTGTTGAAAAGACTTTTCTCCCCATTGAATGGTCTTGGTACCCATGTTGAAAATGAATTGACCATAAATGTGAACGTGCCTTTCCAGAATCTCGATTCTATTCGATTGATATATATGTCTATCTTATACTAGGACCACACTGTCTTCATTACTTTAGCTCTGTAATAAGCTTTGAAATTGGGAAGTGTGTATCATACAAATTTGTTCTTCCTTTTCAATATTTTTTTGTTGTTATTCTGGGTCTCTCACATTTTTAGGACCAGTCTGTGAATTTCTGCAAAGAATGAGCTAGAATTCTGATAGGGATTGTGTCAAATCTGTAGATCAATTTGAGGATTATTGCCACCTTAACAATATTAAGTCTTCTGACCCATGAACATTTATCTTTTTGTTTATTTACATCTTCCTTAGTTTTTTCAATAATGTTTTATACTTTGTGCTTATATTTATTTTTTAAGTCAAAGTGAATCACTATTTCATTCACTTTGGGGGATGTGATAATAGCCTCTCCCATATCTGGAAATTGAAAACAACTCAAGATGCTCTAAACCCAACAATGTGCCTGCAAGTAGTGGGCATTGAGGGGTGGAGCTGAGGTGAGCATAGTGAGGGATGGGGATTTCTGAAAAGGCAGGTGACAGGGTCTTTTTTTTTTTTTTTTTTTAATCTTTTTTAGTCTGCTGCAGGAGACAGGGTCTTTATATGACAACCATGTATTTGCCTCAATTCAGCAAGTGTTTAGAACACTTATGTCCTTGGTCTCCTATAAAGGGAGATTAGTATAGCTTATATGATGGCTTTATGGAAATATTTATGTTGATTACAATATAATTATTATACATGTAACCCTGGCCTGGGCAATATGTTGAAACCTCATCTTTCAAAAACATAAAAATTCAAAAATTAGCCAGGTGTGGTGGCACACACCTCCCGAGTAGTCCCAGCTACTCAGGAGGCTGAGGTGGAAGAACTGCTTGAGCCCATAAGGTCGAGGCTGCAGTGAGCCAAGATTGTACCACTGTGCTCCAGCCTGGGCAACAAAGTAAGACCCTGTCTCAAAAAATATATATATAAATATAAATAAAGACAATCAATTGATGAATGTTGTTTTGAAGAGAAATATAAACCTGACTTGCATGGCCAAAGCTCACATTCTGTAATGGAAAAACCAGGGACTTTAGCATCTGGATTTGAATCATGACTCCATTCTGGGCCAAATGCATGACCTTTGGCATGTTTTCAGCATCTGAGAGCCTTAGTGTTTTTGCGGGGCTGGTTTACATGTTAAATGTACTGGGATTATATAAGATATGTGGGAAATGTTCAGTAAATATGACCTTACTGGCCAGGCACAGTGGCTCACACCTGTAATCCCAGCACTTTGGGAAGCTGAGATGGGAGGATCACAAAAAAAAAAAAAAACAATAGCTGGGCGTAGGGGCATGGCCTGTAGTCCCAGTTACTCAGGAGGCTGAGATGAGAAGATCACTTGAACCCTGGAGTTTGAGGCTGCAGTGAGCTATGATCACACTGCTACACCACCACAGACTGTGATGGTTTTTCCATTACAGCCTGAGCCACAGAGTGAGAACCTGTCTCTAAAACAGCAAAATGACCTTCCTTTTATTTCCCCGAAGCATAAAATCCTCATCCCTGTCTTGCACCTTTTTAAGGGTTTAATTTCACGACATGGTGGCTGTACTCATGCTGGTGCTGAGACCTCTTCCCAAGAAAGGTTTAGCGCAGACTGAACAGCCAGCAGAGTATGGCAAGGTCTTCTCTGCTTGGACTTACAGAAAGAACCACCAGCGGGCAATTGAGTCCTTGCAGGCCAGCCTGGAGGCAGAGGCCAAGGGCCGGGCAGAGGCACTTCGGCTCAAGAAGAAGATGGAGACGGACCTGAATGAGATGGAAATCCAACTGGACCACGCCAACAAGAACAACAGCGAACTTGTAAAGACACTGAAAAGGCTGCAACAGCAAATCAAGGTAGTGATCTGGGAGGAGGAGAAACTAGGTACAAGGCAGACCATTATCAGTTGAGTCTGAAGGCCTAAAGGGAGCTAACTGAATGCATGTCTTCAGCCAGGATAAAGGCATAAGAGTGAGAATGTGGGGTGGCTGGCAGTCCAGGGAATAGGAGGTTTGGGGACTATATAAATAAGAGGCCCCCAACCACCAAAAGTCCAGATTCCAGACAACTGAAAAGATGGACCAAAGGAGGGAAACAGGAAGTTGGGCCTGTCTTGATTATTTATTGATTGATTGACTGAGATGGAGTTTCACTGTTGTTGCCCAGGCTGGAGTACAGTATCGAGATCTCAGCTCACTGCAACCTCCAACTCCCAGGTTCAAACAATTCTCCTGCCTCAGTCTCCCGAGTACCCGGGATTACGGGTGCCCTCCAACACGCCTGGCTAATTTTTGTATTTTTAATAGAGAGGGGGTTTCACCATATTGGCCAGGTTGGTCTCAAACACCTGACCTCAGGTGATTTGCCCACCTTGGCCTCCCAAAGTGCTGGGATTACAGGCGTGAGCCACCACGCCCAGCCCCATTTTGATTTGTAAAATCATGTTTTACTTATTATAAACTATTGCAGACATAGAGAAATGAAGAACACAACAAAACTCATATACCCACGACTTGCCTTAAAAAATAAACAGGCCAGGTGCAGTGGCGCACGCCTGTAATCCCAGCACTTTGGGTGGCCAAGGTGGGTGGATCACGAGGTCAGAAGTTCAAGACCAGCCAGGTCAACATGGTGAAACCCTGTCTCTCAAAAAATAAAAATAAAAATAAATAAAAATAAAATAAACACAAACAGAGCTGAAGATCCCTTCATAATCACTCCATTATGAGGCTGGTCTTTACAGCATACACAGCCAGAATCACACATCCAACGCTTGCTAACTGGAGACGTGCCCTAACTAGGCACTGTTTTAGGTGTCCAAGAGTAGACAAGAAAATACTGGGCACACTTGGTGTTCACATGTAGTCCCAGTTACTCAGGAGGCTGAGGAGAGAGGATCGCTTGAGGCCAGGAGTTCCTGACCAGCCCAGGTAGCATAGCGAGACCCCATCTCCACAAAAAATAAAATTAGCTGAGCATGGTGGTGTGTGCCTGTAGTTCCAGCTACTCAGGAGGCTGAAGTGGGAGGATCACTTGAGCCCAGGAATTGGTGGCTGCAGTGAGCTATGACTACATCACTGCACTCCAGCCTGGGTGAGAGTGAGACCCTGTCTCAAAAACAACAAAAAAAACACAAATGTGGACAAAACAGAGAAACATCACCCTGCAGATAGCAACAAAAATAAAACTGTAGTATTAAAACTGGTGATAAGTTCTATGGAGAAATAAGCAGACAGGCCAAACGCCATGGCTCACACCTGTAATCCTAGTATTTTGGGAGGCCGAGGTGGCGGATCACTAGAGGTCAGGAGTTCAAGACCAACCTGAGCAACATGGTGATACCCGGTCTCTACTAAAAATGGAAAAATTAGCCGGGTGTGGTGGCAAGCACCTGTAATCCCAGCTACTTGGGAAGCTGAGACAGGAAAATCACTTGAACCTGGGAGGTGGAGATTGCAGTGAGCCAAGATAGCACCACTGCACTCCAGCCTAGGGCACAGAGCAAGACTCCGTCTCAAAAAAAAGAGAGAAATAAGATGACAGAAGAGAGCTAGGGATCAGCCTAGATGGGATTAGAATATGATTGTCAGAGGTCACTGGGGAGGCCTCCTTGAGAAGGCTGTGCTGGGAACACCAGGCGCTCTATCATAAGGAAAGGTTTGACTTCATGTTAGATAACTTCCTGGGTCCTGGCCCTGCTGAGGCTCCACCACACCATAAACTCCCCAAGAACAGGTCTGCTCCTCACTCTTCCTCTGTGGCCTCCCTGCCTGCCCAGTTTCCTGTCGAACCCAGTCGATAAACATCAGGGTGCTCTCAAGCCTGGCCACCCCCACATGGTATCACGGCCCAGGGTATGGGCTCAGACTGGGTCCCTGTGCCCCTCAGGACTTGCAGGTCCAGATGGACGAGGACGCCAGGCAGCACGAGGAGCTGCGGGAGCAGTACAACCTGCAGGAGCGGCGTCTGAGCCTGCTGCAGACAGAGCTGGAGGAGGTGCGCTCGGCCCTGGAGGGCAGCGAGCGTTCACGCAAGCTGCTGGAGCAGGAGGTGGTGGAGATCACCGAGCGACACAACGAGATCAATATCCAGGTAGGACAGGGCTCCTGGGTCAGTGCCACTCGCACCCACACTCGAGGGACTAGGGAGTGCTGGGGTAAGGCCAGGATGGTGCCCAAACCACATGAGCGACCCTCAAAACTCAGAGGCAGGCAGTTCCCCCAACTTGGCAAATCCTCAAAACTCATCTGCAGAGCTTTTTGTAAAACTGTGATATAAAAGTCCAGGATATAAAATATATCCCAGCATGGGCTGGGTACAGTGGCTTATGCCTGTAATCCCAGCACTTGGGGAGGCTGAGGCGGGTGGATCACCTGAGGTCAGGAGTTTGAGACCAGCCTGGCCAACATGGTGAAACCCCATCTCTACTAAAAATACAAAAATTAGCCAGGTGTGGTGGCGCGAACCTGTAATCCCACCTACACAGGAGGCTGAGGCAGGAGAATTGCTTGAACCGGGGAGGCAGAAGTTGCAGTGAGCCGACATCATGCCACTGTACTCTAGCCTGGGTGACAGAGCGAGACTCCATCTCAAAAAAAAAAGTGTATGTGTATATATATATATATATTTATATATATGTGTATATACATATATTTTATGTATGTATATATGTGTGCATATATAATTTATGTGTACATATATATACATATATATAAATATATGTATATGTGTATGTGTATATACATACACTACACACACACACACACATAAATATATATACACACATATATATAAGCTGCTACTTGGGAGGCTGAGGCACAAGATCCGTTGAACCCTGGAGGTCAAGGCTGCAGTGAGCCAAGATCGCACCACTGCACTCCAGCCTGGGCAACAGAACAAGACCCTGATTCAAAAATAAAAATGAAATAAAATATATAATCTTGGCCAGGCACAGTGGCTCACATCTGTAATCCCAGCACTGTGGGAGCCAGAGCTGGGAGGACTGCTTGAGTTCAAGAGTTCAAGACCAGCCTAGGCAACATAGCCAAATCCTGTCTGTAAAAACATACAAAAAATTAGCTGGTGGTGTGCATCTGTAGTCCCAGGTACTCAGAAGGCTGAGGTGGGAGAATCGCTTCAGCCTAAGAGGTTGAGGCTGCAGTGAGCTGTAATTGCACCATTACACAATCCAGCCTGGGTGACAGAGCAAGATCCTGCCTCAAAAAAAAAAAAAAAAAATGCAGGAGAGGGACCCTTACCCCATGCAGAGGGCACAGGGCCATTTCCTGTTGGGGTCTGGCAAGCATGTCTGGCAGAGGTTGCTTTCTTTCCTGAACACAGGAAGGGCCATGAAGAACCCTGGCTCATGGTGATATCTCCCTTTCTTCCTCCAGAACCAGAGCCTCCTTGTGGTCAAACGCAAGCTAGAATCAGATGTCCAGCGCATCTCCAACGAGCACGAGGAGCTCATCAGTGAGTTCCGCTCAGCGGACGAGAGGGCCAAGAAGGCCATGACGGATGTAAGTGCGTGTGTCCCTTGCTGCTGGCAGGCAGGCCCTGGGTACCTGCTGAGGACCAGGCTGCCTGGGCAGGAAGGCCCCCTCCTCCCCTCATGGGCCACTGTGGACCCAAACATGGGGCCCTGCCAGGGAGAGTGTGGCCCAACGCTTTTCTAAAAAGCCACACACATGAAAGTAAGAAAGAATTATAAGCTCTAGGTGATCAAGTGAAAGATGACAGCATGAGGCCCAGGGTCTTGTATCAAAGAAGCCATCAAAGTGGGCTCATCTGGGCAGGCTTTTTGGCAATGGGATGCATTAAAACAACCTTGGGCTAGGCATGGTGGCTCACGCCTGTAATCCCAGCACTTTGGGAGGCAAAGGCGGGAGGATTGCTTGCGGCCAGGATTTCAAGACCAGCCTGGGCAACATAGCAAGACCCTGTCTACTAAAAATTTTTAAAATTAGCCAGGCATTGTGGCACATGCCTGTAGTCCTAGCTACTCGGAAGGCTGAGATAGGAGGATCACCTGAGCCCAGGAGTTTGAGGTTGCAGTGAGTCATGATCCCACCACTGCACTGCAGCCTGGGTGACAAAATGAAACTCTGTGTCAAAACATGAAATAATAACAGCAATAAAATAAAACAGTCTTGGGCCGGGTGTGGTGGCTCACACCCGCAGTCCCAGCACTTTGGGAGGCTGAGGCGGGCAGATCACCTGAGGTCAGGAGTTCGAGACCAGATTCCCCTCCCCTCTCGGAGGCAAAGGAGAGCATAGGGCACCCCCTCCACCAAATCCCAACATGGAGAAACCCCATCTCTACTAAAAGTTATATACAAAGTTAGCTGGGCGTGGTGGCAGGCGCCTATAATCCCAGCTACTCAGGAGGCTGAGGCAGGTGAATCACTTGAACCCGGAAGGCAGATGTTGCAGTGAGTGAGATCATGCCATTGCACTCCAGCCTGGGCAACAAGGGCAAAACTCTGTCTCAAAAAAAAATCAGCCTTGATGGAAGTGCTAGTAAAAGGAAGATGGATGAGCCCAAGGATGCAGAGGAGGATGTTGGCAAGATGTGCCCCCAAGTGCTCTCATCCCAGTATCCCTTTGGGTGTTCACACCAGCCTCGAGTGATGGGTTCTATTTACTCCCCACTTTGAAGATGAAGGAATACAGATTTTCATCGTCAGACTCCTCTCACTTGATTGAAATCCCAAGAGTTCAGGAACACTGCTGGTCTTATTTATTGCTACCTCTCAAGAGCACAGGCCTGTGCCTGGTACACCATAGACCCTCATGAACATTTGTGGAATGAATGTAAGGAGAAAGGGGCTGAGAGGGGATTAGCAACGTGCTGAAGGTCACTCAGGGCTGGACACAGTCCTAGGTCTTCCAACTCCAGAGGCTGTGCTCTTCCCACCCTCCATGCTGTGCCCCTCGTGGAGGTGGCAATCAGTTGGGTTTCGCTTGAGTGCTCCCAGCTGGTGGGAGTCTGTGGGGATGGGAGGCATGAGCTTGGTTCCCCTCCCCTCTTGGGGGCAAAGGGGAGCACAGGGCACCCCCTCCACCAAACCCCAGCAGCATGTCAGTGGGGCTCCCCTTGTCAACCAATTGGTTTCCTAGAGACCGGGAGACAAGGTCTCACATCTCTCAAAGGTGCTATGAACTTGGGTAGCACCCAGCTCTAACTCCTGCTCTTCTCCCCACCCGCAGGCTGCCCGCATGGCAGAAGAACTCCGGCAAGAGCAGGACCACTGCATGCACCTGGAGAAGATCAAGAAGAACTATGAGGTCACCATCAAAGACCTGCAGGCCAAGATGGAGGAGGCAGAGCAGCTGGCTCTGAAAGGCGGGAAGCGTACAATCATGAAGCTGGAGGCCAGGGTGAGGGCGATAAAGGGCTCAGCCAAGGGAGGAACAGCAATCTGGTGGGGGGCAAGGGGATGTGGGGTGCCTGTCTTTTGCCAAAAACATGTCCTGTGCTTGATGAAGAATCGGGTTATGCAAGTGCTAGGAAAGCAGAGGAAATGGAAAGGACCAGTTGCAGTGGCTCATGCCTGTAATCCCAGCACTTTAAGAGGCCAAAGCAGGACTGCTTGAGGCCAGGATTTTGAAACCAGCCTGGGCAACATAGTGAGACCTCCACCTCTACAAAAAAAAAAAAAGAAAGTTCAATTAGCTGGGTTTGGTGGCACATGCCTATAGTCCCAGCTACTCAGGAGACTGAGGTGGGAAGACAGCTTGAGCCCAGGAGGTTGAGGCTGCCGTGAGATATGATAGCACTATTGCACTTCAGACTGGGTGACAGAGCCAGACCCTGTCTCAAAAAAAAAAGAGAAAAGAAGGAAAAAAAGAAAGAAGGGAGGGAGGGAAGAAGGGAGGGAAAGAAAGAGAAAAGGAAATTGAGAGAAGAGCTCAAATTTCTCTCAAGTTCTCTCCGCTTTCCCTCCCTGTCACCTTCCTCCCCAGAATGTCCTTAGCCTCAAGCAGAGCCAGTCCTCAATATTCTTCTTGCCTTTTATTACTCACTGAAAGAAGACAGGCCTTAGTCTTTACCCCATGAAATGCCAGAGCTGGAAGGGCCCAGAACGTTCTGTCATTTTGTCTGACTCCCCGACACCCCGGTTTCCCAGAGGAAGGAATTTGAGGCTCAAGGGAAAGTGTCTCACGACCACAGCATTTCCTGTAAAAGGCAGAGCCCACCTGACTCTCCTGTCCAGGGTCCATCCCCTCACCTCTGGGCAGAAGGTAGACACTGCAACCACAATGTCCCTGTCTGAGGCCACTGAGCTCTGAAGTTCAAAATTATGCATTCCAGGAGGCTGAGGCAGGAGGGTCACTTGAGCACAGGAGGTCAAGGCTACAGTAAGCCATGATCATGCCGCTGCCCTCCAGCCTGGGCAACAGAGCAGGACCCTGACAGAAACACAAAAAACAAAACATACGCGTTGGCTCAGCTGCATTCCTCTCTTCCACCCACAGATCAAGGAACTAGAGACAGAGCTGGATGGGGAGCAGAAACAGCATGTGGAGACGGTCAAGACGCTGCGTAAGAACGAGCGTCGCCTCAAAGAGCTGGTCTTCCAGACAGAGGAGGACCACAAGACCAACCAGCGCATGCAAGAGCTGGTGGAGAAGCTACAGAACAAGCTGAAGGTCTACAAAAGGCAGATCGAGGAGGCGGTGAGTGTCCATGCGCCTCCCTGCTCCTCCTTCCCTGATGCTTGTTTCTCAGTGCAAGTTGCCAGCCTTGCTGGGAATTAACCACAGGGAAAGAAGACATTGGCCCGAAGATGACTCTGCAAGGCTCACGTCCATGGTGTCTCCTCCTTGGAATCCGGTGGGGGGGAACCAGACACTATACACAAGAGATAAGAGCTTGTAAAGAGGCCAGGCATGGTGGCTCATGCCTATAATCCCAGCATTTTGGGAGGCTGAGGCGGGTGGATCACTTGAGGTCAAGAGTTTGAGACCATCCTGGTCAACATGGTGAAACCCCGTCTCTACTAAAAATACAAAAAATTAGCTGGGCATGGTGGCGCGTGACTGTAATCCCAGCTACTCAGGAGGCTGAGGCAGAATTGCCTGAACCCAGGAGGCAGAGGTTGCAGTGAGCCGAGATCGCGCCATTGCACTCCAGCCTGGGTAACAAGAGCGAAACTCTGTCTCAAAAAAAAAAAAAAAAAAAATTAGCCAAGCATGGTGGCGGGTGCCTGTAATACCAGCTACTCAGGAGGCTGAGGGAGGAGAATCACTTGAACCTGAGAAGCGGAGGTTGCAGTGAGTAGAGGCCACGCCACTGTACTCCAGCCTGGGCAACAAAATGAGACTCCATCTCAAAAAAAAAAAAAAAAATTGTAAAACAAGTGGACTCTTAGACAACCCATAGAACTAATAAAAATGCACATTTAAGCCAGGCACGGTGGCTCACGCCTATAATGCCAGCATGTTGGGAGGCTCAGGCGGGAGGATCACAAAGTCAGGAGTTCTAGACCAGCCTGGCCAATATGGTGAAACCCTGTCTCTACTAAAAATACAATTAGCCAGGCGTGATGTTGCATGCCTGTAATCCCAACTACTCAGGAGGCTGAGGCAGGAGAATCACTTGAACCTAGGAGGCAGAGGTTACAGTGAGCCAAGATTGTGTCACTGCACTCCAGCCTGGGTGACAGAGCAAGACTCTGCCTCAAAACAAACAAACAAACAAACAAACACATGCACATTTAGGCTGGCGCAATGGCTCACGCCTATAATCCCAGCACTTTGGGAGGCCAAAACAGGTGGATCGCCTGAGGTCAAGAGTTGGAGACCAGCCTGCCCGACATGGTGAAACCCCATCTCTATTAAAAATACAAAAATTAGCCAGGTGTGGTAGTACACACCTATAGTGCCAGCTACTCAGGAGACTGAGCCAGGAGAATCGCTTGAACCTGGAAGGCGGAGGCTGCAGTGAGCTGAGATTGCACCACTGCACTCCAGCCTGGGCAACAGAGCAAGACTCCGCGTCTCAAAAAAAAAAAAAGCACATCTAACCAGAACCAGCCATGTTTATGCCCCATTTCCCGCTGTGCCTTTGTCATAGGAGGACCAGGCCAACCAGACCCTGGCTCGATATAGGAAGACGGTGCATGAGCTGGATGATGCCGAGGAGCGGGCCGGCATAGCAGAGACTGCCCTAAACAAGCTGCGCACCAGACACCGCGTGGCCGGCAAGGGCATCACCTCCGTGGAGATCATCCAGGTGTCCAAGACAGGCACCTCAAAAACCCTTTCTGAGGAGTGAGGCCCTCCGTTTCCTAGGCCACAGCCGGTAGGTGTGTACTCCACTCTGGATGACCTCACTCAGAGCGCTCGTTGCCTGCACCAGCTTTGCTCCTAGTAGTGGTACTATGTGACTCAGCTGTAGTCCCCCTGCTCCCCAGCTCCAGTCTTTGTCATACCCAGTCTCATGCAACAGCAACCCCAAAGCTCTTACCCTGCCTCTTCAGCTGCAAAACTCCTCTAGATTCTCACAGCCCTCAGGTGGGGTGCTGTTCACCTGCATCACAGGTGCTGGCCGACCTGATGTTCCCCCAAATGCATGGAAGGGCAGTTTCCATATGTGATGCCACTTGACACTACCCCTGGAACCTAGGTGCTTAGTACCAGTCACAGGGACATCCACAAGTTTATGGCAATGTATGTTCGTCTTTTGCATCCCCCACAATATCATTCTTCACTGGAGATTTCATCAATCCTGGTTGAATTCAGGCCTCTAACACTAAGAAAATGATAATTATCATCATAGCTACCATTCCTTGAGCACTGAGTGCAGGTGGGATTTTAGGGTAACAATTTAAAATAGTCCTTATTCCCCTTAATTCAGAACTAACCAAGGACAAAAAATGTTGGTGATATCATATATAAAAGTTAAAATAGGCTGGGCACAGTAGCTTGTGCCTGTCAATCTTAGTTCTTTGGGAGGCTGAGGTAGGAAGATGGTTTAGGCCCAGGAGTTCAAGACCAGCCTGGGGAACACAGTGAAACCCTGTCTCTACAAAAAATAAAAAAATTTTTAAAAGCCAGCCATGGTGGTGCACACCTGTAGTCCCAGTTACTTGAGAGGCTGAGACGAGAAGATCCCTTGAGCCCAGGAGTCCAAGGTTACAATGATCTATGATCGTACCACTGTACCACTGCATTTCAGCCTGGGCAAGAGTGAGGCCCCATCTCAAAGAAAAAAAAAAGTCAAAATACCAGTTTTATTATGCCAGAGTTCTAGATTGAGGATGTGGCTTTCACATGTGTCCACTATACGCAACATCATACTTTGCCTCAAAATTAAAGACACCTGAAACCCCAACGCTACTAAAAATACAAAATTAGCCAGGCATGGTAGCTCATGCCTATAATCCTAGCACTTTGGGAGGCCGAGGTGGGTGGATCATCTGAGGTCAGGAGTTCAAGACCAGCCTGGCCAACATGGCAGAACCCTGCCTCTTTAAAACAAACAAACAAGGGCCAGGCGCGGTGGCTCAAGCCTGTAATCCCAGCACTTTGGGAGGCCGAGGTGGGTGGATCACGAGGTCAAGAGATCGAGACCATCCTGGTCAACATGGTGAAACCCCGTCTCTACTAAAAATACAAAAAATTAGCTGGGCATGGTGGTGCGTGCCTGTAATCCCAACTACTCAGGGGGCTGAGGCAGGAGAATTGCCTGAACCCAGAAGGCGGAGGTTGCGGTGAGCCGAGATCGCGCCATTGCACTCCAGCCTGGGTAACAAGAGCGAAACTCCGTCTCAAAAAAAAAAAAAAAATACAAAATTAGCCAGGCATGGTGGCACATGCCTGTAATCCCAGCTATTCGGGAGGCTGAGGTACTCAAATTGCTTGAACCCAGAAGGTAGAGGTTGCAGTGAGCCAGCTGAGATCGCGCCACTGCACTCTAGCCTGGGCAACAGAGCAAGACTCCATCTCAAAAAAAAAAAAAAAAAAGATAACCTGCAGAACTGAACAACTACAGGTTTGATCCCTGGGGAGCAGCCACTTTCCCAGTAGAGGAATAATCAGAATTCATTATCCCTGGGAGTAGATCTAAAAGGAGAGATTAGATGGGGCTCAGTCCTGCCTTCCTGGTTCCTTATTCCAAAAACAAAATCAATCACTCCTTTTCCATGGACAGAAGCAAAAGAAAAATGAGGAGTAAGGCACAGAACATGATTCTGGAGGAGTGGATCCCAAAACGTGGTCCTGAGACCAGCCATATCAGTGTCGCCTTAGATGTTCTTAGAGATGCCTATTCTTAGGCCTGGCTCCAGACCTACTGCATCAGCAGCTCCGGGGGTGGGCCTGGCATTTGTGGTTTAGCAAGCCCTCCAGGTGACTCACATGTGTGACTGAATTTGAGAACCACCCAGAAACGTGGAGCCAGGGTACAGAGAGTTCTCCTTTAGCAAAAGCCAAGTGCTAAGAAAGAGGCTCACGCCTCTAATTCCGACACTTTGGGAGGCCAAGGCAGGAGGATCACTTGAGGCCAGAAGTTCAAGACCAACCTGGGCAAGGTAGCACAACCCCATCTCTGCAAAATATGTAAAAAGTTAGCATGGTGGTGGCTAAGTGCATGGAAAATGCTTTTCACTCTCTATTTTACCCTACAAGGTAGGTATAAATATTCCCATTTGTCAGGTGAGGAAAATGAGCTTGGAGAAGTTCAGTGACTTGCTCATGGTCATACACACCATGAGCTATAAAAAGGCAAGTTATCTTTTATTTGAGTTACTGTGGAGATTGATACAGTTGCCCTCTGTGTGGGATTAACCAGGGCAGCCCAAAATCAATGACTTGGTTCACTCTGGGAGGCAGGGTAGGGCTGAACCTAAGCACTGACCTCCATGGCTTCTAGGAATTATATTTGGCCTCATTGAATCAACACATTGTTGAATGAAGCCCCTGCTGAGGAGGGTAAGTTTCCCTGCTCAGTTATGATTTGTTGTCTTTCAGTAATGGTGGTCAGATTGGGTTTTAGCCAAAAGCGATAACCCTATTGACCTTCGATTCGAAGCTGAGCCTTATCTGATTGTTTGCTTAGGGAGGAGATAAAATATGGGGCACAGAATCTTTTTCTGAACTTTGTAACCCTGAAATAATCGTTAGCGCAGGGAGTTAAGGAAATCAGAGGCTTGTCTCTGTATTAATGTGTAACCATCTCCTTTCAGGGCAAAAACCTCAAAGGGATTCCACCCACTGAGCTCTGACCTAGGTGAGGACTACTCATAAGAAGTCACACCCAGGCTCAGGAGGCAGTTCAGCTCCTTCCACCAAGTCTTAGGCTCCAGGATTAGACATCCTTTAAAGCAGGACCCTGCTCTGGCTTGGCTGGACCTGGTACAATTGCTCTGTCACAGCAAGGATCTACTTCCATGCCATGCCATCAGGCTGCCATCCTGCCACCGGCACTCTGGGGTAATGAGGCTGTGTCTCTGGGGTCTACTTTCCATGTCCTGATCCGTCTTTATTTTTTTTTATTTTTATTTTATTTATTTTTTTTTTTTTTTTGAGACGGAGTTTCGCTCTTGTTACCCAGGCTGGAGTGCAATGGCGCGATCTCGGCTCACCGCAACCTCTGTCTCCTGGGTTCAAGCAATTCTCCTGCCTCAGCCTCCTGAGTAGCTGGGACTACAGGCGTGCGCCACCATGCGCAGCTAATTTTTGTATTTTTAGTAGAGACGGGATTTCACCATGTTGACCGGGATGGTCTCGATCTCTTGACCTCGTGATCCACCCGCCTCGGCCTCCCAAAGTGCTGGGATTACAGGCTTGAGCCACTGCGCCCGGCCATGTCTTTTTTATTTTTTAAATAAGCCAGGCATGGTGGCAGGTGCTTGTAATCCCAGCTACTCAGGAGGCTAAGGCAGAAGAATCGCTTGAACCTGAGAGGCAAAGGTTGCAGTGTGCCACGATCATGCCATTGCACTCCAGTCTGGGCAACAAGAGCAAGACTCCATCTCAAAAAAAAAATTTTTTTTTAATAAACTAAAAAAAAAAAACCATTTTAAACATAAAAATAAAATATTTTAACAAAAATGTAAGAGAATAAATAAAATCCTTCACCAGGCAGAGGAAAGAAGGGCATTCCAGACAGAAGGTCCAACACACACAAAAGTACAGAGGTGGGATTTGCATAAGGGCACAGGCTGGATGAAGCAGATGGGCTCAGGATGAGACCAGAGAGCTGCAGCACAATGGGAGATGAAGCTAACAGGTTAGGGCAGGCAAGGGTGAGGCTGTGAATAGCTCCACTGGATGCAAGTATTCCATAAACTCCATAAGGAAACCTTTTTAATTTAAAAAACCAATTTGTGAGATGTGACATGCAGTAGCTTTTCTTTCTTTGGAAGATGTGCACATCACCGTAGCAAAACCCCTCGTGACACATCAAAGGCAGGCTCTTAGGGAGAGGTCTGTATCCCAGGGGACTTCACTCTGGGCCCACTCAACAACTTGTGTGGAGTTAAAGCCTTTTTGGGCATATTAAGCCCAAAGAAGGTGTCTCTAAACCCGTAAAACCTCATGCAAAACAAGCTAGGTATGACCCAACCCTTTCCATTACTAGGAAGGAAGCCTTGGCAGAATCTTCCCAAGCATCTCAGGGAGCTGTCTTTCCAGCAAGAAAGGAGCAAAGACATCAGAACTCCTAGCTCTTACCCACATGGACTTGCTCACTATCTCTCTTTTTCTTCCAGGGTAATACAGATCTCAACTACGGTCCATTGAGAGGGAGAAAATATGAAAATGGAAAACTGGGTCTGTCCTGAGAATGCTTACTATGCAAAAGAAAGTGCAAGCCAGAAAGAGACAGGTGGTGAAGAATAAAGAGTTCTATGGTGGAAAATGAGCTTGGGAATGTAAATACCCAGTCATTAGACGAATTAAAATGAGTGAGGCTTCTCTGGGACTGCAGTGAGCATTTGGATGATAGTAATGATGGATCTGTTTTCATTAAGTTCCTACATGTTCATGTCAAGGGCGGAATATGTAATGTCTGTGACCCGGCTGTTCTCTACAAAGAATTTCTCATGTTGACAATGTTTAATGTCCCCATATAGCTTAAATAAAAGAAACATAAAAAATAGACCAACTGGAGCTTCTTTGTTTTTTTTCAGAAAGGGTCTTGCTCTGTGGCCCAGGCTGGAGGGTAGTGGCACAATCATGGCTCACTGAAGCCTTGAACTCCTGGGTACAGGCAATCCTCCTGCCTCTGCCTCCAGTACAGTATAGTAGCAGTACCGACGTGCTGCTATGCCAGGCTACCTTTTATTTTTCTCACTATGTTGCCCCAGCGGGTCTTGAATTCTCAGGCTCAAGCAATCCTCCCACCTCACCCTCCCAAAGTGTTGGGATTATAGGCGTGAGCCACTACATCCAACTGGGAGCTTGTTTTTTTTGTTGTTTTTTTTTCTCCTTTTGAGACGCAGACTTGCTCTGTCGCCAGTCTGGAGTACAGTGGCACGATCTTGGCTCACTGCAACCTCCACCTCCCAGGTTCACACAATTCTCCTGCCTCAGCCTCCTGGGTAGCTGGAACTACAGGCACATGCCACCACACCCGACTAATTTTTTGTATTTTAGTAGAGATGAGGTTTCACCATGTTGGGCAGGATGGTCTCGATCTCCTGACCTCATGATCTGCCCACCTTGGCCTCCCAAAGTGTTAGGATTACAGGCATGAGCCATTGCACCTGGCCGGAGCTTGTTTTTAAATGGAAAAATTTCCTTTTCCTAAGACTTATCCAAAGGCAATTTTTGCCACTGCCATATAAAAAAGTTCTGTTGCATCCCTATATAGTAATTCACAGGTTTGCTTCTACTGGAAACCATGAAAACAATACAGTATTGGTGAAGTTCTTTCCAAATTGTGAAAGTCTGTATTAGAGAAATGAAGACAAGCTAGGTTTCTTAAAGCCAACAAAGTTAACAGAATCTCCGAAGTAGGTCAGGTCCATCCAGCTAATGCTCATAGGGCCCCTGCACGTTCCATCTCATCTCCCAGGATGTTCAGACACCAGTGGGTCAGCTCTGTGAGGGCAGTTTGCTGTTTTGTTCACTGCTGTACCCTCGGCAACTAGAGACTGCCAGGGCTGAAGCGTGCACACAGTAAATACATATAGAGTGAATGAATGACAGAATGTGCTGCCTCCCCGGGCAGTGTCCTTCCTGACACTAACACAAAGTTCTCCCTTCAATCAAGATGAGACCTGCCCCCAAGTGGCGTCTGCATGCTGACCTGGTATTTGGTTTTTGTTTTTTCTTTTTTCTTTTTTTGAGACAGAGTCTCACTCTGTCACACAGGCTGGAGTGCAGTGGCATGATCTCAGCTCACTGTAACCTCCCCATCCAGGGTTCAAGTGATTCTCCTGCCTCAGCCTCCCAAGTAATTGGGATTATGGGCACACGCCACCACACCCAGCTAATTTTTGTATTTTTAGTAGAGATGGGGTTCCACCATGTTGGCCAGGCTGGTCTCAAACTCCTGACCTCTGGTGATCCACCTACCTCAGCCACCCAAAGTGCTGGGATTACAAGCGGGAGCCATTGCCCCTAGCTGCTGCCCTGGTATTTCTACCCAAAGCCCTACAGAACAACCTTCATGATAGCCAGTTCTCAAGATAGGTCCCTCCAAGTTTTCTCTTCTCTAGGCTGAATATCCCTGGCTTCGTCAACCTTCCCTCGTGTGGCAGGGTTTCTGTTGTGATCTTCTAACACTCCTCGACCCTGCTCCCTTCCTTGACCTACTGTCTTTGCAGAGCTGTTGTGGGGGCAGTGCCACGAGGGAAGGCTCCCTGCCAGTTCCCAGCCTTCAGAACACACTGGCTCTCTGGGAATGGTGTGTCTTCCAGCATTCTGACCTCTCTCCGATCTGTTGGCAGGCAGAAATTACTGTCTGGGGTGGTGGAGAGAGAGGAATACTACTTATTTGGTGGGTCCCTCTCCACCTTCACACAGGGGCACATCACCTGTGATGGTTCTAAACTTAGCACTCTTGACGGGGCAAGGTGGTTCATGCCTGTGATTCCAGAACTTTGGGGAGGCCAAGGCAGGAGGATCACTTGAAGCCAGGAATCCAAGACCAACCTGGGCAACATACTGAGACTCTGTCTCTACAAAAACTGTAAAAATTACCCAACCATGGTAGTGCACGCCTGTAGTCTTGGTAACTCGTGAGCCTGAGGTGGGGGGCTAACTTAAGCCCAGGAAGTCAAGGCTGCAGTGAGTTCTGATTGCACCACTGCACTCTAGCCTACGTGACAAAGTGAGACCCTATCTCAAAAAAAAATTAAACAACTTGGTTCTCTAGTCGGTGCCCTAGAAGGAAGTTTGGTTTCTTCTATGCAATTGGACCAAATGTGATAACACTGCCCTCTGGTGGCAGGGTCTCCAACTGCTGTGTGTGGATTTCCCAGGAGACACCGAATCACAGAATCTTAGAATTCTATACTGGAAAATTCTAGGGCTGGAAGGGGCATTTAAAGGGCATCTAGCCCAACTCTGAGGCAACTAAGGATTCCCCTCCACAATATCCCTGAAAAAATGATAATCCAACTTCTACTTGAATCTTCTCAGTGAAAAAAGGCAGCCCATTCCAGTTTTTTGTCTTGTTTTGAGACAGGGTCTTACTCTTTTGCCCAGGCTGGAGTGCAATGGTGTGATCATAGCTCACTGCAGCCTTGATCTCCCAGGTTAAAGTGATCCTCCCATCTCAGCCTCCAAGTAAATTGGACTACAGGTGCACACCACCACACTCAGCTGATTTGTTTTTTGTTTTGTAGAGATGGGGTCTCTATGTTGCCCTGACTGGCCTTGAAGTCCTGGGCTGGAGAGATTCTCCCGCCTTGGTTTCCCAAAGTGCTGGGATTACAGGTGTGAGCCATTGTACCCAGCCCCATTCCAGTTCTGACTAATGATCATGAGCAAAAAGTCCCACTTAATATTGAACGAGAATGTATGTCCCTGCATTTTGCCCTTACTTTTCTCCAGTCTTCACCTGTATAATTACGTAAGTCCAATCTGTACACTCTGAAGTCAGGCAGATACAGGTTCTACTTTCCTGGCAGTGTGACTTTGCAATTAGACACTTGCCCAGTTTCTTCTAGCATTCCGTAGGACTTCAAAACTTGTCCTCCGGCTAGGGATTTGTCATGAAAAGGTCAACCTTGAGTCATGGTTGAATCACAGGCTAAAAGGGAACCTGTTAACTATAACAATGGACTCTTCTTCCCACTTCTTCCTGAGCCCTGGCTTAAGCTAATAAAAAATGTGTTCTGTAGCTTTGCAGTAATACTTCCATAAAACTTCCCTCTACAGATGTTTTTGTTTGTTTTGTTTTGTTTGAGACAGAGTTTTGCTCTTGTTGCCCAGGCTGGAGTGCAATGGCACAATCTTGGTTCACTGCAACCTCTGCCTCCCAGGTTTAAGCGAGTCTCGTGCCTCAGCCTCCCAAGTAACTGGGATTATAGGTACCTATCTGGCTAATTTTTGTATTTTTAGTAGAGCTGGGGTTTCACCATGTTGGCCAGGCTGGTCTCGAACCCCTGATCTCAGTGATGCTCTGCCTCGGCCCCCCAAAGTGGTGGAATTTCAGGTGTGAGCCACTGTGCCTGGCCTACAGATGTTTTTAAAAACCAACTTTAAATAAGGCAGCAATAAAGTAACCAGACTGAAGGGAGAAATGCATTATGGGAATTAGGTCTGGTGATCAGAAAGGCTCTCATGGCAGTAGGTACAGGGTGCTACAGGAGAGGCACCCAGCCCAGTCTTGGAAGATAAAGGAAAGTATCTGGAAGAAGTCATGTCTCTACTGAAGCTGAAGGGTGAGTAGGAGTTAGGTATCAAGGGGAGAGAGTGTTTGTGGGAAGGGAGAGTGGGAGAGCAGGAGGAGGTAGGCAGGGTGTGTCAGCTAAGAGAGTGCTTGGCTGCAGGTGGCAGCACACTGAGCCAACAATGGCATCCGCTGCAGAGATATTTAAGATCTCGCACACATACACCCCACCCGCCCTGGTGGATGACTTCAGAATGAGTGCAGTGGGAAAGCACCAGGTCTCCACCTTTCCATCCTGCAGCATCCTCAGGCCTGTCAAAGCAATTGCCATAGCGTTAGGCCCCATATTCCCCTGCCACGCTTAAGCCAGTAAAAAGATAGAGGGAGTAAAATGATATATGCCTCCTTGCCATCCTTTTTATCAAGGGGTACATTTTTTTCTGGAAGCTCCCCATGAAACTAACTCCTGAGTGCTGACTGGCAGAAATGGGGCACATGGCCATCCCCAAATCAATTAGCAGCAAGTGGGAATGGGCTTGCTGCATTAGACGTGGACCAATTGTGGTTCATTTCCCAGACTTGAGGAGGGCCAAGCTTCCCTGAGAGCCACCTGAACACAAGGGGGGAAGCAAAGCAGGGGAAAGGTGTTGTGTGGGCAGTCAGTGTCTACCACACAGACAATGTGGTCAGAGACAAAGGTGACAGATCACAGAGACCTCCACGACTTGTTATGGATGGAGAGAGATGTGTCCAATGGTTTCCTCATGATCCAATTCAAGTCCTATATATAATGTAGGTGAAGTTGTATCTTACCTATGCATCACACTGGAAGACATGTGATGACACCTTTGATCATTTGATTAAGGTGTTCACCTCCATTAAGGAACATTCTAGAAAACAACTAGTGTGGGCTGTTTAAGACTCCCAATTCCAGGCCAGGCATGGTGGCACACACCTGTAATCTCAGCACTTTGGGAGGCTGAGGCAGGTGGATTGCCTGAGCTCAGCCTGGGCAGTTTGAGACCACCCTGGGCAACATGGTGAAACCTTGTTTCTACTAAAATACAAAAAAAATTAGCCAGGTGTGTTGGTGGCCTGTAGTCCTAGCTACTCAGGAGGCTGAGGCAGGAGAATTGCTTGAACCCAGAAGGCAGAGGTTGCAGTAAGCCGAGA